TAGATGTTAAAAAATGTGGGGGCTAAGATGCACCTATTTTACTCCACTGTTGATGTCAAAGGCGTTTGATTCTTTGTTTTCATACTAACGATCAGAAAAGCAGCTAAGAATTTTGGGATATAATGAAAAAGTGCATAGAATAACAAACAACTATCAGCTAAGGTGAAGATACAAATTTAAAAGACTTCTGTGCTGTCATCCATGCTTTATGGTTCAGAACTGTGGATTATGTATACTAGGCATATCAAGAGACTAGACAGTTGCCACATGAGAACTGCATACAATCCTGAAAATAAAGTGGGAAGACAGAATAGGAAACGCAGACTATCAAGAAGAAAAGGTTTTGATGAATTGGCTGTGTCGGGAGAATAGAAGACCACAGGGCCAAAAATATTTTGTATAATGAGATTCGAGATGGCTCTAGAAAGCAGCGTTGCCCTCTGGCAGTACCATGATATGTGCAAAAATTATATGAAGTTGTTCAACACCAACTTAGAAAGCTGTGGGGGAGCATGCAGAATCCCATCCAATCTGGAGGGAACATCTGGCACTGGGTGCAGCTCACCGTGAAGCAGCTTTGATCCAGAGGCTGGAAGCAAAATGAGAGAGAAGAAAGCAGCATGCTATAAATTTGGACTCCAACTGAGACAATATACAGCAAAAGTTCTGTTATACGGCACCCATAGGGAATGGGGGGTGCTGGGTAACCAAATACGCCGGTTACCTGAGAGGCGTGAACAGGCGTCTTTGCCTGTTCAGGCTGCCGCCCCTCCTGCCGCCCTGGCCTACTGTAAGTGTGCCAGGGAGAAGGAGGGGGGTCCTGCGCAGGCTGCTTTGCCCCGGGCCATAGTGCAAAGTCAGCCAAAGTGGGACTCAGCGAAACCAGAAGTGGGACTTTTGGGTTTGCTACATCAATCAGCATGCCGGTTAACAAAGTTCCAGATAACACTGCTTTTACTATATGGCTCTGTGAACCTTGTAATCAGATGCGTCACACCTGAATTGGATTTATCAGCCACTAACGGATTGATCAGGCATCTGATTAGATCTTTTACATGTATGCCATGATCCAGAGGATTGACTGCTACCTACTACTACAAATGCAAGATATTCTTCTTTGGGTCTGATCACAAAGAACAGTATAGTAAAGAATAGAAGTGGGAAGAGGAGAGAAAAATTTCCAGGGGCAGCAGGTGCGGTTAGCAGAAGAAAAGAAGCTGAGTGTGAGATCAATGACTATTAGAAGGGAGCAGCGCCATTAATTAAGCTAACCGTAAGTGTTCATAGGGCCAGAGATGAGAAGGAGTCTATAATCTGATAGATTACCTATGAGGGAGCAATGATTTACTTAAATGTTAATTGGAGCAGGCGCTATATTTTATACAAAGTGAAACAGCTTCAAAAGAAGACAAAGAGATAGGGCAGTCTAAGATAGTGATTCCACTCCCTGATCTGAACTAGAGACAGCAAGAAAACCTGATCCTAGTTCTCCCACAATTTAGGCAAGAGATGCTCTAACTGTGGAGCTGTAGTTTATAGGGTTTTTTTCCCAGCCAAAATTTTGCTGAACTTGGGTCCAATTTATAAATAAATGCATTGCAGCTGTTCAATTGTTTGGGAAAAACTATTCGCTGGAGAAAAATGTCTTACAAGAGTATGCACATACACTTGTATATGTTCAGTTATTTGATTCTTTTTTTAATATCAATTTTTGAGTCTGCAAAGAAACCAGTTTTAAATGCAACTTGAGTTCAAGCTGCTATGGACCAACAGGAGTTACGGTACAGGTACAATCTATAGGTGTGAAAGCTTGCATCCTCACAAAATCCCATAGGATTCTGCACACGTGTCAGGGTCTGCATTTGTTATTCCACATATAAAACTTCGTCCCTGAATATTACATTATACTTAAGGGACTGTCAATTTGCAACCTAATGTATTTACCAAAATGAACGTAGGAGTAGGTTCACTACTGTAAATACTTTAAGTCTGCTGGTCAACTTTGGTGGATTTTCAAGCCACAATAACCTTAACTTTTCTTTTCCTTAAAGAAAAGGTTTTTTTTATCTACCTGTTGTCAACAAACAGGATAAACTGGAAGAGTAAAACAATATTCACAAAGTAGATAAATTTATTAAGTAGAAATTTGAAATTAGAAATTTGGTGGCAAGTTCCAGAAGTGTTATGCAATTTACAAAAAAAAAAAATCTTGCTTTGAAATAGAATAGTTAAATGTATTCCCAAGATAAAGAGTATAATATTTTCTTAAGATCTCTGACATGTTCTGGATACACTTCTAAAAACAGATCTTTTTAAAAAGAAGATGAAACAATTATACTTACATTTTTTGATGGAATTATAAACAAACAACATACAAGAGCTTCAGGTTCTCCTTTAGGTCCTGGTTCTGCAAAGCTCTGGAGCGTTAGCTTAACAGTACACATGCAAACAATATTTTTCATGTTCAGTAAAGCATTTAGCACATGCTTAAGTATTTTTCCAAATCTAGGTTTTAATGAAGTGCAATAATTGATTTCCAATAAATTATATTTGCATAAATACTGTTCTGTCACCAGAAGTACTTAATAAGCACCAGGTATTTTAATGTTAATGTTATTACTGTTATGGTAGTAACATGCAGGTTCTTTTAAACAGATGTGGGCAGATTTTGTATACTGCTATTTGTCTTTATGGCAGAATGAAACAGGTCTCATTTGCAGTTAAAATAAAAGTTTACTCTGATGCTTCCTCTTTTGCATTTGATACCCACCTGTGACTGAAATAGGTAGTAAAGGAAAAAAGATATTTTACTTCCATATATTATTAAGCTCTTGAAATTAATAACTATTACAATGACTTGTCTGAAAGCATCCCCATCAAAATGTTATTATGCCAGATAAAAAATTGTTTTTAATACCATATTTTACTGCATACAATATGCCCCAGAATATAATATAGACCTTGTTTTTGAAAGGCAGAATATGAAAAACAAGATTTTCTTAAAGTTATGGATGCATAGAGCAGTGACAGAGCCTAGTTTTTAACTGATTCACCCTCCCTTTTCTGTTTAACTACAGCTGAAAACCTAGCTGGTGCTGAGGACTGGTTCCATGGATAGATCTATGACTTGAAAGAGTCTCCAAGCAGAGGCGACCCGAGCAGGGTACGGGGCCTGTGGCAAGTCAGCGAGTGGGGATAGCGAGCAGCTGGATGCGGAGCTGCTGATGCTCTGCCCGGCTCTGCGGGACCCCCCAAAACACAGGGCTTGGGGTGGTCACCCCAATTCATCCCCCCCTAGGAATGACGCCATCTCCAAGGCTGTGGAAGAGAGAGAGAGAGACCAGGAGTAGCTATCAGACAGCAAAATTGCCAGAAGAAACATTCACTTGATTAGTGGAACACCATGACTACTAAAAAGGAAAGATGATTTTTAGCACTGCTGAAGTGAAGAACAATGAATCATTAAGACAACTGACTCCCTCAGCTGCCTGAATGATAGTGTGACTCCTGCTCTACAATGCAGCAGATGACAAAAGTTAGGGGGCTTCTATCCCAAGTGAAAATTGGATTCCCTGCTTAATACAAACACCCCAATGTTAGGGGGGCTTTTTGTGGGGGGGAAAAGGGGCATGTTACATGTGAGAAAACATGGTATACTATGTATATAGTTTCTGATACAACACGAAAAATTACAGTTAAAGTGCACATTCCTTCTGCAACCTGCCAAAAACATTATGCTACAGCAGAGTTAAAAGTTTCTGCATACTGGGGCAATATTGCTACCTCCAACAGTAATTATTTTGGTAAGGTTAATCTCAAACTTCCCATTATAATAACATCTTTTTGGTATTGTACAACTCGAGCCTGATTTAGCCATTCAGAATGAAGTTTTCCATGCTAGGTATTTGCTTCATGCTGAAACGTGTGTGTGTGTGTGTGTGTGTGTGTGTGTGTGTGTGTGTGTGTGTGTGTGTGTGTGTGTGTAAAATTTCAGCTAAAACAGCAAAGAACTAAATGTGGTATGTATTAATCTTTGTACTGATGAAGCATCTTTTGACCAAATCTGGTTGGGTCATGTGGGCAGCCTGCATTACCTGCTCTGGCTGTGCTGCCCATGAGGGAAGAGACGGGCAGGGAGCCGGGCTCCACACACTGGCCTCAACAGCTGCTGCTGCTTCCTGCAGGTGGCAACCAGAGCTCAGTTTGGGCACAGTTCCTCTGAGTACCAGAAAGGCAGGAGAGGGACAGCACCACTCTTGCTGGACAGGGCAGGGCACCTGGGGCGCTGATCCATCCCCTTAGACACTGCCTCCCTCCTGCCTTTCTAGAACAGCAAGACAGCAAGAGTGGGGAGAGCTGCAGAATGCTGCTAGTGACTTCTCTAAATCAGTGCCCCACTTGCCCTGCCCTAGTTACACTACTGCCCAGACGTACACATAATGCTAGGTAAATCCTGGAACGTTAGTCAAAAAAAGAAAATGATTAGAAAGTAAGAGGGGAGGAAAGTAGAGAGAAGCCTTCTTATCTTTCAGTTTAGCAGCCTTAATGGTTAGGGTACCTGCCAAGAAACAAGAGACCTAGGGTGCCTGTAGATGCGCATGGACACTGTTCTGACCTACTGTAATTAGTGTGCCAGAGCAGACTCGATTAATCAGTCTGCTGAAGCATACTAATTAGTGCGCTACAGCAGCCTCCACATCTTGTGTATTCAGCATCCCCACGCTTCAAAATGGCAGCAGGGGCACTTTAACTAAAGCTCATGCAATGTCCTGCCCCCAACATGTAAAGATGCCCCCAAGTTCTAGGCCTCCTTCACTCAAAGGGGCTTAGCAGGAAGTGTGAGATTCAGGTTCAAAGTGCTCTAACCACCAAACCATAGGCTAGGTCAGCAGTTCCCAAACTCTTGACAGATTGCACACCACCGATTTAAAACAATACAACCTTAAGTACCACGGAAGGGACCTGCGTAGATCATCAAGTCTGACCCCCTGCCATGGCAGGAAAGAGTACTGGGGGTCAAACGACCCCACAAGGTGTTCATTTGGCCTCCTCTTAAAGACCCCCAGGGTAGAAGCCAGCACCACTTCTCTTGGAAGTTGGTTCTAGATCCTAGCTGCCCGGACAGTGAAGTAATGCCTCCTGATGTCTAGTCTAAATCTACCCTCTGTCAGCTTGTGACCGTTATTTCTTGTCACTCCTGGGAGTGCTCGGGGGAATAGGGACTCCCCCAATGTCTGCTGGTCCCCTCTGATTAGTTTGTAACAGGCCACTAGATCCCCCCTCAGCCTGCTCTTGTGGAGGCTAAACAGGTTCAGGTCCCTTAGCCTCTCCTTGTAGGGCCTGCCCTGCTGCCCCCTGATCATGTGAGTGGCCCTTCTCTGGACCCTCTCCATGCTGTCCACATCCCTCCTGAAGTGCGGCGCCCAGAACTGGATGTAGTACTCCAACTGTGGCCTGACCAGTGTCGCATAGAGGGGGAGGATCACCTCCTTGGACCTGCTTGAGATGCATCTGTGGATGCATGACAAGGTGTGGTTGGCCTTCATGACCGTGTCCCCACACTATCGGCCCATGTTCATTTTGGCATCAATAATGACTCCAAGATCCTTTTCTGCCTGTGCACTGATGAGAAGGGAGTTCCCCAGCAGGTATGCTGCTGGTTCTTCCTCCCCAGGTGCAGTACCTTGCACTTGTCAGTGTTGAAACCTATCCTGTTCTCATCCGCCCACCCCTGTAACCTGTATAGGTCTGATTGCAGCCTATTCCTCCCTTCTAGCATGCCCATTTAATATTCATTTGCTAAAAATTAGAGGTGCACCGATACATCAGTCCAATATCGGATCAGTACCGATATAAAGAAAACTGGCTGTACTGGATATCGGTCCAATAATTTGACCAATAAATGTCCATGCTGCATGCAGCTGCAGTGCAACACTCAAGCAGTGAGGAGCAGAGCCGGCAGTGTGGAGAGCTGCCTCTAGCTGGTAAGTCCGGTGTGGTGGAAGAGGAATGGGGAGGGAAGTGGTGTGTGGGGGTCAGATCAATGCCCCCCGCAGTGAGGGGGCGGGGGCAAGGGCAGGCACTGCCCCGCCTGGGGTGGTGGGAGGGGTGGACCATGCCCAGATGTGCGGGGGGGACGGGGCAGGGCAGGGAAGGCTGGAGCTGGAGCTGTGCGAGGCTCTTCTTAGCGGGGGCTGGGCTCAAAGTAGGCTCTAGCAGCACTTCGAGGATGCTGCATCCACTCCAGATTTCGCTGCTACTCCTCTCCCAGCGCCGCCACTGCCAGTTGCAGCCCTGGCTCTTCCTGGCATGTGGATAGATGCAGGCCGTTGAGCCGGGGCTGCACCAGGCAAAGACACTGGGAGCAGAGAGGCGGGGGA